CCCCCCCCCCCCCCCCCCCCCCAGACCCCGCCCCCACGTCCCCACTGAAACAAGGTTGGAGTAAAAACCAAAAAAATATTTATTTCATAGTTAAAATCGACGAATCGATCAAACTGGCGAGTATATCACAGTCCTTACCCAAAAAAAAGTCAAAAAGATTTTAAAAAGTAAAATAAAAAAAAATACAAACATATATTTAAAACCCCAGCCGGGAGATCACTTGGAGAGGATCCAGCCGGGCCAGTCTTTCTCCGCCCACGCCGCCTCCACCTGCGGCAGCGTCCCCAACGGAAGCTGCGAAGACAAAAATCCAAAACAATTTACTCGAACGCTTCGTTATTTTATAAGTCGAGGCGATAACACATAATTCCTCCAATTTTCTCAAGCACTCTTTCTAATTGATTAATTAATTTCCCACGGCTTGACATGTGGACGGACATTTCCGTACAAAAAAATTAAAAACCGCGTTGGAAAAATTTTGCGACAGAAATGGTGAACGCGGACGCAAAACCTTCAAGGAAACGCCTCGAAAAGCAAGGTAATTTTTTTTTTCTTTTTTTCTTTCTCCAGAATTCAAGGTAGAAAAAGTGTCTGACAAGATAAAGTCCCCCTTATCAGTACTTTCCGTACTTTTCCAACATCCCCCCCCCGCAAGAATTTATCTCGTCTATCATGTTCTGCGATATGTACAGGACGGTCCACAATTGTCTCCCCAAAAGCAAAAACTTATAGTGGGTGCCGCTTATTGTTATCGCTGATTAATGGTATCAGCCATTTATCGTTATCAAAACAGAATAAACAAAACTAAATCCTATATTGACCATAATATTTCTTTTTTCGGCCAATATTATCAACTCCAGCGCCTACTGTTATCAAAATGTTCTACCCATGTCGTAAAAATAACCCTACTCGGAACCAACTTCTAGCTATCAGTGAGGTCATCTCAGTGAGGTCATCTCAGTGAGGTCATCTCAGTGAGGTCATCTCAGTGAGGTCATCTCAGTGAGGTCATCTCAGTGAGGTCATCTCAGTGAGGACAGTCATCTCAGTGAGGTCATCTCAGTGAGGTCATCTCAGTGAGGTCATCTCAGTGAGGTCATCTCAGTGAGGTCATCTCAGTGAGGTCATCTCAGTGAGGTCATCTCAGTGAGGTCATCTTCAGTGAGTCACCTCGTGCCAAACGCCGCCCACTACCCCCTTTCACCAATAAAAGAGGCACAAACTCTACAAACAACAGTCCAATATTGACTCTTGCAATTGAATGCCGCTCTTGGCGTGAGTTTTACTTGCTTTCTTGCTGAATTGCAGCGAGTTGTTTTATCGTAGAGCAGGGCTTCCCAACCCAAGGGTCGCGACCCCATTTGGGGTCGCAAAGATAATATTCGGGGTCGCGAACCGGCAACTAAATGCAAAGTCACGTTTTTCTTTGCGATTTCAGCGCATAGGTCGGGGAGCCTGTCTAACTTCGCTCAGTGCATGGGGTCGTGAATAGTACGAAAGTGATTTTTGGGGTCGCGCGTGAAAAGGTTGGGAAGCCCTGGCGTAGAGTTTCCATTAGTGCACCCTTCTTTTCGCCCAACATCAGGTAAGACGTGGGTAAAATGTCGCAGAAACGGAGAGACAGGAGAAATTGAAGCTTTCTAAGCGACTACGATGCTTTGCCAAAATATAACCAAAGGGAAGCAGCTGCGGAGGTTGAAACTTCGCCAACCACTAATTTTTTTTTCGCAAAATTTTGAAAAGCAGACAAACCCTCGAAACGAGTGAGATATTAAACCTGACGTTGAAGATGCTCCCCTGAAATGGTTTAAAGCCAGTGAGACCGCTGAATGCACCCACGAACAGGATCATTTCGTGCCAGAAAGCCAAGGAAATTCCTCAAAAATTGGGCGAAGAAGATTTCGTTCCAAACGGTGGTTTCGGCTCAGTCGATGGAAGGGCAGGCATAATACAGTCTACAAGAAAAAAACTGGCACGGTTGCAGCAGAAAATTGGGTGGAAGCTATTCTACCCGCTCTCCTTGAAGAATTCAGTCCCAATTCAATTTCTGAATCTGGACTGGAAGAAATGATCGCTAAAGACTTAAAACAACAAAAAAAATTGATAAATTTATTCAAAAATTCCCAGCGATGAGGCAAGTTGACCACGCATCCTGATTTGAATATTTGCATTCTGTATCATACAGGACAACATTTTTCATTATTATATTATTTTATGTTCATCCAGACGTTTTGAAATGAATTAATCTGACCGAATGAACCATTAAACTGAAAATAAAATTGTCAACTACCACAACTTTCCAGGTTTTATTCCTTCCTTTTCGTAATAAGACGGGCAGGGTAATCCTCGGCGATCGCCGCGTATCATCAGCCGGTTAATGTTTTCAAGTTCTCCATGCACCGATGCGATCACGATAACCGGCACATACTTCGGAAGTATGCATCCGATTTCAACGATATATAACTCGCACGATAGCCAATTCAATATATTTTTACTGCGGAAAATTTTCAGCATCGCCCATCAATCTCACGCCAAGTTCCACCCTTACAAACTGAAAACCCCAAACGTTCAACCCGACACCCGCAACCTTTCAACGACCCATCCCAGCCGACTTCTTCCGATCTACCCAGTCGTGGGTCCGCCGACGAATCTCCTCGGGTTCGGAAAACCTCTCACGAACTGCCTGCACGATCTCCTCGTCGGGAACCGAGGCGTTCGGACCCAAACTGAAGACATTCCCCAACTTTCACCCGCACCAAAATCGCGCTCTCAAATCGTCAAAAAAACCAAACGGCAACATTCGTCTTCCGCCGGACACCGAGGTCACCCACGACGATGCACGAAAAACCCGCGAATGAATTGCGGAAAACAGCACGGAACTGCGATATTTACAGGCACGATATTGCGTTTGTTAGGGTGTAACTTTGTTCAAGTTTCTTATGCAATGCTGAAATTTTCCACGATGAAAATATATCGAACTAGCCATCGTTTCAGTCAAATCTCACTGAAATCGGATGCATACTTCCTGAATGAATGCTTTTATTTTGGGGGGAGACAATTGTGGACCACCCTGTATTTACATATTAAGAGGAAATAAAGAGCCACGTTCAGTCTTTTACATGCATAACACACTGTAGATCATCAAATATTGCCGCGGTTCATTAATATTTACTCCTTGTAGATTTCACTTCGCTCATAAAATGACGGTTTTTAGTGGGACAATTTCTCATTCGCCCCATATTTCCCCGGGATTTCCTTTTTCCCTCGCCGACAATACCATCCTCGTCCTGGATCCGACCCGCTTCACCCTCGCGCCCCGCCGTCATCGATGACGAAAAACAAATGAATGGACATTCCACGCGTTTCCACGGCTCGATCGATGCCCGTCGACGTCCGAGCGCGGCAGAGGGGAGACGCACTCCGTAGTGCGCGGGATCGATTCATATCGGACGGGCATCGTAATATCAAATCGAGGAAAACCGATCGTAACGTTCACATCCTAGATTCACGTTTCACCATGGAACAACCATGTAAATTGAAGTTTTTTTTTATCATATCGATATAAATATATAGTAAAGAATTTAAGACAAGTCCGCGACAAGGCAAGGAAAAATAATATAATTTGAATAAATTTTTTAGAAAAAAAAAAATCCCAGAAATGAGCTCGGAGAGCGTCGCCGAAAGCGGAAGACTCACGGGAGGCTTGTGGACGAAGACCGACTTGCGAAACGCAGCGCAGTTCTGCCGGACTGGGATGCCGTGATGCGCGAGGAGCCGGGCCGTCTCGCCGTCGTCCCGGAGGGCGAGGGCCGCCGTGAGGGGTGGCAGCGGCACCCCCGCCCCGCGGCTGCTGAAGCCGGCGTTCAGCGTCTCCAGGGCTTTCCTGGAAGTCCGTCGAATCTTTCTTTTATATACCGAATTATTTTGCATGCAAAAAAAATTGGGTCATTTTTTTTTTTTAAATTGTTCCAAGTTTCCAATTCGCATAACTTTTTCTGCAATAACATTTCAGTTACCATAATTGCCCAGAATATGAAGAAGGCATGGGAGATTCGTGTGGGCTCAAAAAAAAAAAAAAGGATGAATCACGGAAAAATACTCAAGGGGCAGCGCTGAACCAATTTGGCGTCCTTCACAGAGTAACAGAAATTGTTCCTTGTGAAATGATACTTCAAGCTAAACGAATCACCTTTAAGTGCGCAAAGACAGCATCGACGGCACTTTCCTACCAGAAATAGCACCATCCAGTAAGACGAACACCAGACTTCTTAAGCAGTTTGCATCGGAAGGCAATGTCAGGGACCGTCGAAAGGGCCATTCCAATCACCGCAAAATTTTCGCTCTTGCCCGACAAATGCTAATCCGCAATCCCAGAAAGAGCTTCCGATGAGCTTCACAACTCGATACTTCGTATTCAGCAACATGGACGATTTTCTATCCCAGTATTTCTGCACGTACAAAACCCAGATGCACCAACGGGCGACGGAAATTAACGCGGAGAAACGTTTGCTGTTCGCACGGAGGCAATCTTCCCTGTAATTCCCCAATTATTCTCTCCGTTTGACGTCGTGTGATTAAAGAAAATGGAGGTCACACGGACACATCATGTTCTGATCAGTGAACCCACACGAATCAACCATGTCTTCCAATCTTTCCGTGCAAAATTTGGCTACTGCAACGTTAACATAATGAAAGTTACAGGGAATAGGAAACTAGGAACTGTTGTAAAAATCACCCAGTACACGCAACTTTGAAACTTTTTTTTTTTTGGAAGGAAATACTGTCGTTTCAGAAGGGCATCCTTGAGCTGAGCACCGTATTACAGACGCAACGAAACCGGCAACTTCTCCCTCCCAACCGGCACGCAAACACCAGCGAAGAAAAAAAAGGCGACGACCCAACGCTCGCCTACCTCCTGAGCGCGGGGAGAAGCGAGCCGAACGCCAACTGGAGGAGCAGTGGAAGCCGACCGGCGATCCGGAGCATCCGAGGCAAATTCTCCATCAGCCAGGCGGATTTGAGCGACACCAACGACCCCACCAACTCCTCCTCCTCCTCCTCCCTGTCACGACCGAATCCGTCACGACCGACGGCATTCTCACCACACGCCGAGTCCCGTCAAACTCACGGTCGAGATCCGCGCATCGCGAGGAAGCGAATCCACGGGAGTTCCTCGTCGAGGTCGAGGACGAGCCCGACGGCGAGGACCTCCAGGTGGCAGTTCCTCTTTATCTCCACCCGTTCCAGGTAGCAGCTCAGCGTCTCCCGCACCTGATTCGCGTGAAGGACCTCCTGGAATCCGTCTTCCTTTCTCAGTCTGCAGAGCAAAACGTAAATTCAACCGAAGGAAGTCCGGCTCGTCTCTTGCGGACTCGACCCGAGAATTCGCCTTTATCTTGATCTGAATCTATTTGAAGGTGTCATAAGACATTTCTACTTGGGAGAAGGGACCTAAAAGACAATTTTGACTCGTTTCCCTTCTTTTGCCACTCCATGCTCATTTTGTTCCCCCATAAATTCCATCATTAATGAGCAGTATGCTTGCCGAAAGAGTTCCTTTGGTATGCAGGAACAGCAAGTAGGAATAACTGTGGGGTTAGTTTGACATATATGATAAAGGCAACATGGGCCACAGGCCTCTTGCCTTTGAATTTCAGGCAAGATGCAACTCCATAAAGACCAGCTAAACTTGTCAAACGGGATGCATAAGTCCCAAAGGAATCCATGATGAAACCAGATTGCTTACAATTAAATCAATCAGGCGTGAACAGCGCAAAATTTCATTTTTGGGCCTGAGATGCCACAGAAATGTTCCCAGCTTGGACTCTGCTTGCAAGCTTTAATGTTTCATTGCACTTCAAGCAATACTTTGAAGTCTCCTCACCATCAGACAACAGAAATGGCAAGAGTTTTACTCCGAGTTTTCGGCAGTTTTTTACTTTAAGATGGCCGACTAGATGGGGAGGAAGTGTTTCAAATTTCAGCACAAAAGTTTGGGGAAATTAATTAGGACTTTAAAATCAGGAATAACGGAATAACCTGTAGCCAGCCATGAGGAGGAATCGCAGGGAAGACGCGAGGACGCGCTGCACGTGGACGCCAGAGAGGCGCTGGATCACCAGGTCCTGTCGCACGGCTCGCAAGCGATCGCAGATGAAGTCGTATACGTCGAGGAATCTGGCGTCTGTTCTGGACGAGACTCTGGGAAGCAGAATGCGAGATGAGAGGCCTTGGAACCAAAATGGATGTCGAGGACGCTGAATCTATCCGACAAGACTTGGCCGAGCAGCAGCGATCTTACAGGCGTAGACGAGAAGCTACTCGAGGAGTTGAAATCGACACATCATACCTCTGAATGAGATGGACCACGCAGTCAGAGAGAACGGGGCCGGGGCGGAGCTCGGCCGGGGCCGTCATGTCCCGTCCGGCGCCGGATCGCGTGTACTCTTTGATCAGGATCACATCTCCCGTCTCCGGGTCCTTCTCCAAGGCATGCACCTCCCTGTGCTTTCTCCGTCTGCGCATTTGACGCATGAAGAATTCATTAGAATTTTCCTTCTATCGCAGAGAAATGCTCCTCGTGATGGAGACCCACCTGTCGCTCTCCCGGGCCGGACAGAACGTCCGGCACGTTCCCTGGATGCTCCCCTCGGACATCTCCAAAAGGAGATGCCCCTAAAACTGACAGAAGAGATGGGCTTTCAAATTTCAACAGATAAAAACTTCTCTCAAATGAATTCTATCTTTAGCTAAGGTTGAAGCTATCAGGGAGCTCAAGGCAAGGACAGGGTAAAAAAATGCCGTTGAACAGCCTAAAAAATAATTGGATCTTTCAAGGGTCTGCCTCACTGTTTTGTTCATGTGCAGAACTACCATTGCTAACAGACAAAAAAAAAAAAAAAAACCTTTTGGCCAAGGCTGCTGAGGTTCTTCAGCAAAGCAACCATTAACTGGTGCTTGGATGGGTCCAAAACGAATGGTACTGGGTCAAAGAATGCATTAAAGAGTCCAGAGAAACACAGCCTAACCTTGTTAACATAATTCTAAAGGGGATCCAACAGATATTTGTATTATGGGTCTAAGAAGTCCTTGGGTAGCACAGTAGTAAAAACTAGCTATTGTAGACTCACAACTACAAAAGTAGGATTTTGTGACAATATGGACATACAGCCAGGGATACCAAAAATGTTTTATTCAAATAAGAATTCAGTCATATCCAAGTTTGCTGTATCCCTGGCATGACATTTTACTGTAATTATCAAATTACTCCAATGACTGCTGATGGTTCAATCAAGTTGTAAAAATAAATAAGATCAGGGAAAATAGATCTATTCAAAATGTCTTCATTGGAAACATCAGGTCATTCCTCGAGTGAGACTCAGAGGAGGAGAAAATCACGTCGAATCACAGAACGAGAAGTCGGCCGAGGTCAGGAGTTGAGGCGGGCCTCCTCGTCCTGTCTCTGAGCCTCGGCGATGCGAGCATACTTGCTGGCCCGCACCTCTTCCTCGTCCTCCAGCATCTCCTGGAGTTTCCGCTTGTACCTAGTCGAAAAACAAATTCCAAATATGGAGAAAAGTCTCGGGGAAAGTCAAAGGTACAAAAGAAAGGGAAGGAGACATACTGCACACTGTCAGGATTGTTCTCCTGATTCCGGCATCGATCCAGCTTCTTTTCTAGTTGTTTCACTACATCTCGTGGAGGTGGTTCAATGCTCTTCACCATAGTCCGGATCTCTGAAAGGAGATGATCAGGTAAATTCTTGAACTTTTATCACTTTATTAATAATCTGATAATTTCTCAATATCAGGAATCAAGATAAACAGTTTGGTTCTTGCAACAAGTTATATTATAAACATTTCAAGACTGCCATCTATTCCAGTGTACTTCTTCATCCTAAAATAGTTGGTTCAATTTCATCATGATAGAAAAAAACCAGAGAAAAAAAGTATCTTTCCGAACTTTAATTTTACTGTCTACTGTAGTGATCTACTTGTTTGATGGGAAAAAAAATTACAAGGCCTTGATACCAACTTGTAACTTGTGACATGAAAAAACTTATATTCAAATTGATGATTGTTACAATCAGACAAGGACTTATCAGAGTGGATGTAGAGAATGTAAAGTGAATAGTAGAATAAAAAGCAGTTAAGAATTCTTAAAGTAGAACAAAATGCAAAACCATCAATGCATTGCACATTTCAATACATCATAGAGATACAGTTGAAAGAGTGGCTCACTTCGTACTGCCTCAATAATGTTATTGAGTTTGTCACTGGCCTTATCCCCAAAGAGGCAATCTGTGACATAAGAGTCAAGGTTCTGATTCTGGCGGCTGGCTGCATTCAATATTGCTGCTAGGGCAATCTGAAAATGTCAAGAATTTGTCACAAACAGCTACACTTTCAAATTTACTAAAATGTGTTCCTCTGGATGCAAACCTGAGAGGGTGCATAGATGAGGATGGCATCAGTGAAGAAGACCTTTCCAAGGAAGTCCTCTACACCTGCTCGCAATGATTCTGGATTCTCCAACATTGGGTATCTGGTCTGAAGGTCCAAATTCCAAATCAGTCATGTGGAACAGTGACATTTTCATGCAATAAAAATGCTTTCCTGCTTATAATTCTCTGAAAACTCAAGGGATTCATGCCAAAAAAAAGCAACATCCATTCTAAAGGAGAGATGCATAAATGTGGAAATCTATTTTCCACATTGAGGACCTTGAGATCAATGAGGAATCCTTCAACAGGACGAAAGGGAAGGTGAATAGTGAGGTGATACTGAAGCTGCTGCATGAGGAGGAGTTCATTGTTCAAGATCACATCCACTGCCTTCTCTTTGTCCCCATGAATATTGGCCACAAACTGGGACATGGACACATTGAACTCATCCACCTTGCAGGCCAGGAACACACACGTCACCCTATTGCACAGAATGAATTATATTTAACTGGGTGCATGATTTACACTATAGTATAGCAAAGGACAATGCATATATTATAGCTTTTACTGAGGCATGCAAGAAGCCCAAGGCTGATACCAGGTTCCAGTCTTTCTCTAAACCTATTAACAAAAACTTTTACACTCATGCATTCCACTCATCTATACAATAAATTTGTGAGTGCATGGAGAGATACAGAAAAAACTAGGCTCCAACTGACTCATCGTTTATCTACCTGCTCCCAAATATAAATGAAAATGGACTAACTCAAATATGGATTCAACCAAGTCAATAATCAAAATGGACATACAGGATCTCTTTTGGGTGATAGTCCATGGCAGAGTTGTAGAGGTAGAAGCGTTTGAAGAAGTGAAATGCTGTGCCAACAACAGTTTTGGGTATTGGAGGTTCAAACTTGCGACAGAAATCACGGAGATGGTACTCGTACTGCCTCAGCAGCATTCGCTCTTCATCGTACATCAGATAGAATTTCTCTGGATCCTATTTAAAAAAAGGTGAAGTAGGATGAGCACATGCAAAGTTAAGAAAGAGAACTCAGCTAGTTTTCATATCCTCTTTCCCCTTTCAAATAGTGAAAAATACTGGTTTTAAACTTAAGAGCAGAAAAGCAATAAGGCAGTAGGAATGAAGAGGTGCATAAGGAGAGTCTGGTCAAATTAGTACTATTTCCTTCATGAATGACTGCAGATTTATACTTATTTTGCAGGTTTCTTCATGGATGGAATGTTGTCATTAGCAAAGGATTAATTTCCCACAATGTAGTAGTAGTAAAAACTCTATAACACTAAGATGCGATAGCAGCACAGCATACACATCCAATGAAAACATGTGGGGAACTGCATATGGAGGCCTTTGCCCTAAAAAAAACCCCCCCCCACAAAATTTGGAACACAAAATCTCTCTTCCTTGGAAGCAACAACATGAACAAGAACTAAGCATTTCATCAGATTCTCAATCTCACTCTATCTGAGGATTATAAACACCATACAACTATTGCAAACATCAAAATCAAATTGTTACTAAAATGCAAAAAAATGTTGAATAATAAAGAGGACAGCATCTCTTCCAAACAAGGATCTCATAAAAAGCATGAGTTTAAAGCACCTGTAAGCCTAGAGAGTTCAGAGACTCACAGCAACTTTATAAGGGTTGTCTCGTGCAAAATGTGCATTGGCTTCCCATCGAAGGCTTTCAATGACCTGCTCATCTGGGAACACCCAAGTCTTTGCCTGTGTACTAGTTGAGAACATCTGCACATCACAGACAAGATTGAATGTGAGCTTCAGCACTCAAATAAATCATAAGCCTACAATTGTTTAATTTCCAGATGAAAAAAAATCAATGCATCCAGCCTTCATGAATATCCACAGGAGCTTAGTGGAAGGCTCATGCAACAATGCATGACCAAGAAGACAATTTGTCACACATATTTTATACTCAAAAAGGAGGAGGAAAGGAAACAGTTCATACTTCATTTGAAGATATCACTCTAAACTATTATATTCAAGAAAAAAAAAAAGAAAAAGACACAAAATGACAGAATAGCAGTCAAGAATGTCATTCAAACACAGTATAGGTTCTGTTGAGGAACTTCACACTGCCTGGGCTTTGGGCTGAGTTGGAGATTGTGGAACTGGGACCTCTGGTTTTTTGGGTACATCTGGCTTACGGTACGTCCTTGGAATGGGATCCTTGGGTGGCATCCAGTTGGGAATCACCTTCCCATGAATGCGCCACAGCCCATACTCATTTGAGAGGTGATTTTCAAAGACAACATACTCTAGCACATCCTTTGCCACCACTTCACTCCCATATTCCAGCCTCCCAAATCTGTCATAAACTGCTAGGGTCTGAGAGGAAAAAAAAAAAATTTCATCATGAATTGGAAAAATGACTAAACACAAAGTTAGGAAGCAACTACAATAAAACTTAAATGCCTGTGAAAATTTTTCCTTGCAGAAAGCTCTTTTTGATGGCACCTTTAGCAGGTGATGCTGAACATTCTTCACCTCACCTGCTGAGTGTGAAATCGGAGAGTGACTTGAGCAAACATGTTCTCCTTGGAGATGAGATGAGTGGCACGAGCATGAACAACTCTTGGGGGCTCAATTGACTTCAGGAAGTTCCACCTGATGGTTTTCAGCTTCACGTTCCTTGTCATTTCCTGAATAATTAAGCAAGGTATAAATACTGCAAGTACAGCAGCATAAAATTACATTTTGGCGGCTAGCAGGCTAAACTCACAGGGAAGCACTTCTCAGTGACGAGGTCATGAAGCCTGTCTTCATTCTCCTTCAAACTGTTGGAAGAAAATAACATTAGATAAAAACACTGGGAAATTTTTGCCAGCATAAATAACAACCCAAGGGAACTAGACACTCAAAATATTAGTGGCAATGAAACACTGACTTCATAAGGCATTTGTGGGCTTCAACATAGATGTCCTGAGCCTTAAATGCAAATTCGGAGGCATCAAAACCTTCTATGAAGCTACGTATTTTCCTGAGGGCTAGATAGGACTTGCTCTTCTTCTCAATTAGCACCATTTTCTGCTTTGCACCCTGCAAGGGAATGATACAAAATACAAACTGATACTAGTTTCCAAATCAAACACCAGACAGCAAGTCACCACTCACAGAGGGAAGAATTGCAGATATTTTCCCATCGCCTTCTGGGGGAATGTAGGCTTCAAAGATATCACCAGTAGAGGCAAGGTTGATTGACTTCTCCTGCCATGGACGGATTGGCTGAACCCCCTTTTCCTTCATTTTAAGTCGAATCTCAGCTGCACTCAAGCGGCTCCAGTCTTCCTTCAGTTCGTCAAAGTTGGGCAGATCAATCTTGATCACCTGGTCATGATTAAAAAAATTGTACAAACACTCCTTCTTGACCTTGCCTTCCCACAAGGTATTCTCCAAAATCATTAGGAATGATTCTGAGGAACGTGGAACCAAAATTTTCCATTAGGATGTGTAATTGGGAACAAAATGAAGCAAGAGTAGCAGAATAAATGATGGACAGGTTGTGAATGCTAGCAGCTGGGTCGGCTGGCCAGCTGGATATAATGAATGAAGGGCAACAAAAAAGCATAAAAAATAATAGGTGGCACAATGGTTTCTACCCATGTCAAAACATTTCCAGCAAGCCATGGAAAATCAACATCAAGTGCAGCAAATGGGTAAAGCCTACAGCAGTAATAAGAATCTCAATTTATGAAACACAGTATATTGTTGGTGCAAAATTGACTAAAAACCTTAAAATTAGGGTTAGGGGGGGGGGGGGAATGCCCCAATCAGTGGGAAGGAGACAAAATATGACAAGCTTTCCATGATCTATTAAAATTACATGATACTTCTGGAATACATTTCAATATAAACAGGAATTTTCTGGATATAAGCCTTAGGGTATGAATGATGGTAATTGCTATTTTTCACCAGGAACATTGCAGGAATTACATACAGGATAAGAAAAGCATAATTTTTTAATTTTTATGAATAATTTTCTTGAAAATAAAGAATAATTTCATTCCCTACTGATCATGAACATATGAATCTCTGTTATTTTCTTCTTTGCATTCTTGTGGGAAATGGGAAGCAACATGAACATTGTGAATCCAGGTAGGCCTGAAGATGAATGTGGTAACACCATGAGGGGGGATTTAAAGTTAGTTAAAACAAGTAAAAATATATTGAATGATTCTAAATAAAAAAAACACTAAAATACCAAATAGCATAAGGAAACCAAACTGAAAATTTGCATAGTTACATGACTTTCAAAACTGACATGTGGTGAAGTGGTAAAGGCAATATTTCTCTAACCCCCCCCCCATTCCATTCCATCACTTTTTCTGCCCATATTCACATGCAAAAAAGATGATGTACTGATGGAAAAAGAAATGGCTTTCCAACATGTAATTTGCCTTCATTGCATCACAGGATAAAAATAATGTAAAAAAATAGGGGGCTTGACCCAGATGCACAAGTCTGCGAAGCAAGACTTGATGCAAAGCAATCCTTTTTGCATAATATTAAAATTAGGGTTTTTCAAGGCATTTTAGGATTCCATGGCTTGCTTGCAATAAATACATGCTGCTCTACATGTACATGTTTGTCATGTAAACAAAGAAATTGTGGCTCACAAGTAAGGTCTTACAAAACAGAAACATGCTAAGTGAAGCAGTACCATTGCTTCCTGCACAAAGATGTCACTTTAGCAAATCTTTTCAGCAAGGTTCATTTCCTATGCATAAACAGAGGAAAACGGTCATGTCTTTCTTTACACTTCACAAGGTCAATGAGAAGATGATATAAATCCTATGAACAAGCCTTTTCAAAGGGCTTGTCTATAAGGTTATTTGTGCTGCCTACATTAAGGTTATGGCAGAGGAAAGTTGCAGGTCCATCATCAGGAATCTTTTTCCTATCCTGACAACAAAGGATCTAAAATCAAAACCTCTGAATATTTTTCAAAAAGGCATATTCTATTGCAAATTGCATTAGACATACCTTATTCAACAAAACTTTTATTGCTGCAATGAAACATGATTAATATCTATAGACTGAGAAGATATCAGTTCACAGCAGGCGAGGAAACCCTTTGTCAACCAGGTTCACTTGAATGGAGATATATGGGCAGGTGGTCTGCCTGCATATTCTTCCTAGGAAATTTAAATTTGTTGCCTCAGGTTTGTGGGAAAAACATATTTTTCCTACACTGGTTCACAGTAATAAAAATTCTGAACGAAATGACATCATAAGGAAACATGGGTGTAATTAAACCATATCAGCTCATCCAATTGCTCTTTATGACATTTCATAGGTATTCAAATTGAGAGAAAAATAATCACTCAGCCTTGAAATGATCCTTCAAAGTGAGAAATAGAATGATAACATCTAATTTATTAATAGAAACTCATGTCCTTTTACAGCTCTTGCTTCTGGGTCTATTCTAACCAGGACCCTGAAGTTGGGGTGAATGGTCCAGAATTCCAATTGTTTAACCACTCATATAATATGTTTGACCACATTCATTAGCCCAATTGAATTACAGCCTTCAAGATTAAGTAATTAATTTTTTTAGCATATAGCAGAGATCTCTCATTTGAGGAACTGTAAGCAAACAACAGCTATAAATGGGTCTAGTTCTTTCTTTCTCCTGCTTCTGCTTTGGATTCCATGCCACAACACCCTAAATGGCATCACATTGAAAAGCCCTCTTCATCATCTTTGCTGCAGTGATTCAAAATTACTCTCACAGGATTCTCAACAGTGTCATCAATCACAGTGATCTATGCCACTCAATGCTTCCTTAACAAATTGCTTTTCTTTTTGAAATAGCACATAAGAGATTAATTCTGTTCAGATTCATCATGCACCCATGGCAGCTCTATTCAAGTTCTTCTGGTGCTGCCAACAATGGTGACAACATCCTGACACTCCATGAGCCCATACTTACCTGAAGCCTTTAACCTCAATATTCCATAGTAACCTCATGATCAAATGTATCACAAGGCCTAGCAATATTAAAGTAATTGGATTTGAATTCATTACATAATCAGATTCAAATCCTATGAATATAACTTCTGCCTAGTATCAAAAGACTACAAATGGTTTAATGTTAGAGATTTGGCCGATAAGACTATGTCTACCCCTGGTATGGGCTAGTTTGTGGAGATGCAAATATGATTTTCTGCCATTAATAACATTATGAATCATGGTCAAACAACTCTAATCCATTCTGCCTGTTAGCATGAATCAAGAAATCTAAATCAAACAGATGTTCAGATTTTGCCAACAACCTCCAAACTTACTTTTCTTGCACGGTGGGATTTGAATTTTGGATCAAAGTGTTTCTTGATTCCCCGAGACAGAGGTACTTCTCTTGGATTGGTTATAGGGCTTCCAGCAGGGAGTAACCCTGGCGATGTAATCACAAAAAGGCACTGAGGGTTCACCTTCGCCATCAGAGGCCAACGCAAGCAACGGTAGGTTGTCAGCATTTTCACGAGTGAGGGGACTTTTCTGCACTTGTCTGTTGTCTCCTAAGCTAAAACAAGAGAGCCTCAACGCAACGATAGACAATTCATGTCACAGCACAAGAAAATGGACTGGACCCGGTGGACCACGTGAATAACAGCGCTGCTCCATGATGTGCAGCAGTGTTGATCCATGGAAGGATTTCGAAACCTACCGCTGACAAAATCTATAGCAAAACGGCATTAAGCACTTGTAATAGGGACTTTGCGCTGTCCGATAAATATTTGAAAGATTAATAAATACTTTTCTTCACGGTAAAACGCGCCTAACAAGCCCCTTCAAGAAAAGCAATGCTTTTTCCCTATTTAAGAAATACTTGCGTGGTTTCTCGAGAGTTGGAGCATCCGTGGGAGACAAAGGCGAGAGATGCATGCGGCCACGTGCGTTCAAAAGTTTTGGACGTTTGGCGGGATTTCCTTCCTTCCGACGCGTGAGGGGGAAGGACCCGAGTCTTTCGTTGTTCACGTTCTCGAGGGTCGAAATGTCCTGCAAATTGAATCGGCCGTTTACGGTCACAGTGGAAGGGAATATTGCGAGTGGGAAGTCAACATTCCTCGGATATCTGGCTCGGTTCCCCGAGATCTGCACAGTTTATGTGAGTGGGGATTATGAGCATGGAAGGGTAATTGGGCCTATAGGGGGGATTGGAGAAAAAAATGTTAGTCACTTCTGATTATTAGCACAAGCCTAGTGCGAGGCCATGTTTCAGTTGTGGTTCTTTGAACTGTTGTGCATACTTGGTGAAAACTTGTAGGTGTCAGTTTCTCATTTTCTTGCAGGAGCCTTTGGAGAAATGGTGCGATGTGGAGGGTAGTAATCTACTGGATCTCTTGTATCAAAACATTGATAGAAATGGTTACCTATTTCACCATTATATTCAGTTGACTCGACTCCAGATGCACATGCAAGAAACTGCCAAGCCCATCAGAATCCTTGAACGCTCTCTTCACAGCAGCTAGTGAGATGGGAATTTGTACCCCTCAAAAAAAATTTAGGACCATGGCTACAGTTGTATGACATTTTATGCCAAAATATTGTATATCCCATTATTATTCTGAATACCCTTTAATTTCATGAAAAATTATGTTCATGGTGATATAGTTAATGCCTAGTGAGTAAGTCAAACACTGTTCTAAAGACAATTTGGTGCACAGATCATAGACTTAAACATTGTTTACAGACATGGAGAGAAAAGATCTTTCTTTTTGTCTCACTAAGGCATTTTCTTTGGAAGTGGAAAGTCAAAGATCCATATAGCCATTGCATTATGATGTGAAAGTAACTTCTACTGTTGTTCTAGTGTACTGTTGTAGCATTCTTAAGATGGTCCTTGACTTTTTTTTTTAGTGGATAAATTAGCCTAATCCTAAGAAAATACATAATTGCCTCACATGTTTTAATAAGTATTAAATTTGGTTTTAATTTGGCTTGCAGTGAATGCTTTGTTGAGAGCTGGAGACGAAGGAAAACTATTGGTGCAGCAGAGCTGAGTCTCATTCGTGAATGGACTCAGTGGATATGCAAAACTTTCCCAATAGACCCTCATCTTATTGGTTGGTTGTCAAATCTTCCTATCCAGTTGCATTGAATTTGTTGAATCCTTCAATGTTTATTATAAACACATTCCAACAGTGTACCTGCAGACCTCACCTGAGGTAGTATACACGCGACTCCAAAGTCGCTCAAGGCCCGAGGAGCGTGATATACCCATGGAATATCTGGTAGATGTCCATAAAACACATGAGGACTGGCTTGTCATGCGCTCACATGGAACCATACCTTGTCCTGTCATCGTCCTCGATGCAAGTAAACCTGTCAACGAGTTGGTGAATTCAGAGTATCCCAAGATCAAGGACATAATTTGGAGAAAGGCCATGTCGTGTGATGATATTGCATGTTGATACGGGTTCTTGTTCAGTATTTTGTATGTGCCTTTCTTGTGGCAGACATGACTTCAACATGGAACAATGGCAGTCTAAATATTTTATTAATCTATCAAACAAGGTACTCTTCATTTTACCTAAGTGATTGACTTTTAAGATGCAAAATCACTTGATTGACCTTCAACTTGAGATAATCAACCTGAGCATCCATGTTCTTGTATTGAAAGTCCATGTGTGGGACCTCTAGGAGGACATACCCAGCCATCTGCAGGAGCTTACGAGTCAGCATGGCATGACCAGTCAACACCTGGTTCCCCACTGTGAAGTCCTTGTAGTCCCACATGAGCACAGCCACTCTATCACAAAAATGAGTTTGGTATTGGATGATGTAAATGATAAATAAAGAGATACTCTACCATGCAAATGTACCTTGAGGCACCAGGTGGTAGAGGTTTTGAGTTCAGGGCATTCTCACAGGGAGTATGACTTCTCTTTGAGGCACCAGAAGGAAGTTTTGAGCTTTGGGCATTTTCACAGGGAAGAGGGTTTCCATTGCGATCCATTATAAATTCAGCATCTGAAATACCCAGCCCTTATCATTGGAACCACATCACAATACATGCTCAAAGGGAATTAATCCAAGAAAACTCATACTAGGTTATGATTGAAGTGCTCTTTCAGGAAATTGTACATTGTAGCAGCATGATTAGGAAAACATTTCACATTCTGTATGAACTAACCAAGGGGTAAGCAGATGGTTGAGGTGGTTTTGCTCTTCAAAAATTTGGGACTTGGGATGAATATCCCAATGGCATCTCGAACTCTCAGGCTGAGAAGTTCAGATTCTGCAGACCGTGGAGAGCATAGGATATATGCTTCAAAAAACTCACACAACATATTCATCATGTCTTCAGGGATCTGGACCAACCCAGACAAGCGAATGTATTGACATATGTGGCAGAGTTTGATGCGGTGCACCAAATCTGCAAAAAAAATACACTTGGGTTAAAACAAAAGATCTTTTGTGCATTCAATCTTAGAAATAGTTTCATTATGGTCAATTTAATTATTTTTCCAATCATGTGATGCATTTCAATAATAGCAGTCAGAACTTTTTTCTTTACAGATGAAGGGAGAGTTTAGGTGACCACTTCACTCCATCCTTAGAACCAGAATGACAGATATGTGACCTTTCATTTACTATTATTATTTGCCTGTTACCAGTGTTTTATAAATTTTTTGAGACAACAAACAGAAAACAAGACTGCTGTCACTTCACAAAGAACTTTTGAATGAATGAGTGGTTTTGCTTTCTGAGAGCTCTGGATTTATGCATCCCATTAGGTAGCATTAGGGATCTCTGTTTTCAATTCACTGGAAAAACTTTAAGCATATCTGAAATTAGTACTTTAGTGACTACTGTATACATACTGCATATCTGGAGACACCCTTTTTCCTCATGAAAAACTTTTCCTGAGATAAAAGAAATCATATAACTTCTTGAAGAGAATATTCAATATACTGCAGATACCTGCAGATGACAAGAAGAATTTGGGATCAAGAATGGAATTCAGTTGTTTTGGACTGGCTTTGTCCAGTACAATCAAGGACCAGACTACATTCACCCATTCTGCATTGCTCATCTGTCCCTGCTCCAACTCTGCCAGCTTGTCCTGAAAGGGACCCAAGGTCATGTGGAGTCAATCCATTCTTTCAATGTGGGTCACTCAAGGCCTGATCCCTTACCTGAAAAATGCTATCAGCTTCAAAAGGCATGTAGGAGACAGAGGCAAGGGTTTGGAGGAGAGCAACCCATTCAGATGTGCTGCAGCGACCTGTGTTCTCCCTCATCCACTCACATAGGTTTTGGATCAGCCCTGCAATACAAGTCAGCAATTATGCTCACATGTAATTTTACACCACTAGTAGCAAGGACATAATTTCATGGGGGCTAGGGGGGAGAACCTCCACCAAGCCAATAGCTCTTTGCCTTCCTCTGACCCAGTTGCCCCCCCCCCCCCCACTCCACCCCCTTGTGCAGAGTGTAAAATGACATTCCTGACAAGTAGAGCTAAAATCTGCAAGTAAAAAGAAACCTCAGGGGTAAGAAAGAGAAAATAACTGAATAGTAAAAACTTAAAAGTGTGACTTACATGACACTTGAACTGCACATGGAAACAGTAAGGGAATACAAAAATACAAAATGAGTGAAGAAGTGGTACCTGTATGTCTCCAACGCAAGAGCCCAACACTTGTGAGGATACTCCTAATGACATTCACACTCTGAATATTTGAGATCTGGGGTCTCAGCTCAGTTGCAATGCGATCAAGTAGAGGATGATCAGGAAAACTGAGTCGGTAAAGAGCAGCTAGGACCTCAGACAACTGACGAGCAGTCAGTTTCAATTCCTGCTTGGTCATGTGATATGCCAATGCCCTCAGAAGTGGTGCTGGGCGTCTGTTCACATTTGCCAGTGTGCACACCACCTGTTGTTAAGAATAAAATAAACCCATTCACTGGAGGAGAAGATTCTACAATAATGCAATGTGACAGACAATCCATTCTCAGATAATCAAATCTTTCAGGAGCCTGCCCTTCTGTGTAATAAATATAAGTGAAGGCAAGATGCAACAAGCAGATGGTGGAGGGCAGGAAAATTACACCACGGAGTACTTTCATCATGAGAACCTGTGTGAACGGTTGATTCATATTTGCACCTCATTTATTTCAGGTCTGATCAATCTCTAGCAGAACTATAATTTCCAAATTGTGCACCACCATTTATTGCAATAATACATAAACCATTCATATTTTGCTCAAATGTAGTTATATGTGATGCTGAAAAAAACAATCTGTGAGGCTGTACCAAAAATGCCCTAGTGCAATGGTAGAGTTTGCTAAGAACAGTGACCTATAAACATGCTATACATAACCTTGCCATAACCAATACTAGAACTAGCTTCTGAAGTCAAATTCAAGGAGCTAGTTTACACTTCGCCCTAACAATTTCTCTGTATGCTATGAAGATGAAATTGCTGAATTAAACATAAATAGTAAGTATAGATGTTCCTATGTTAAAATACATCAAGGTTATTCAGATTTAAGAAAAACTATTCCAGCAAAAAATAATGAGAATGTGCCTGAAACCGTGGATACTCTAAAACCTTATATCACAGTTGGTAAAATGGTATACATTTCAAATACAGTGAAAACTCATTAACTCGAACTTTCAGGGACCAGGCAAATCGTTTTGAGTTATCTGAAGTTAGAGTTATCAGGAATCGCCCCCCCCCCCCCCAAAAAAAAAAACACATTAAGGAACATAGGGGACAGAATAGCTCGGAGTGAAAGCGATAGATTGACAGAGCAAATGTTGGAGGCTTTTTTATAGCTGAAGCTTTTTGGTTTTAACCCTCTCCACAGGAGTCTGTGTGGGAGGAGGGAGAAGCAGAAAAAAAAAAACAAAAGAAACAAAAGAGCATCCTCCCAAATGGGTTTCTTGTCATTCATTCTATTCAAAAATCAAAAAGTCCCATGAGAAGAATTTTTCCCCCCTTCTCACCCTGAATTCAAGTTAACCTTGAGAAAATCATTATAGGGAATGAAAATTTCATTCGAAATATCCGGAAATTTGAGATAAGTGAATTTGAGTTCAATGGAGCATTTAACATGGTGTCCTACAGGGTTCCACCAGGACCAAGCATTGAACTTCGAGATAAGCAGAATTTTGACTTATCAGGATTTGAGTTAATGAGTTTTCACTATACTCAAAACCATGGTTGGCAAAACCGTGGTTGCCGAGGGATTACTGTACATTTTTTAAATGGAGCAGAAGTGTACAATTTTATTCAAAGGAAATTTTGGAAGAACTCTGAAGAGATGCATGATCTTTGGAGACAGATAAGTTTATACACTGCCATTTTCCACAGGTCAGTGCTGGAACAAAGGCATTGGTGAGGTAAATCAGTTGCAGTGGCTCCTGGTTGTGGAAGGACTTTATCATTAGTTTATCCAGATAATAGGAAAAGTGTAGAGAAAAATCAACAAGAAACAATAAGTAGGCATCAAGTTTTTGCAACATTTGTTGGATAAATTTACAATGTAGGCCTTCTACTACCATGAGCAACTGCAACTGATGTTCTATCATCACTTAAGTCTTGGTACCAACATTGAGTAGTGAAAAGCATCAGTACTTCCTCCTCATGAGCCTATTTTCAAAGATCACCCATCTTTTTTAAAGTTTTTCAAAACCTTCCACTGAATGATATTGCACACTTCTGCTGCACCTGAAAAAATGAGAAAAATAAAAAAATTAGAGGCAAAGCACAAACTAGGTTGAAACACCTATGCAAAAGCAAAAATTATATATTGTATGATTGTAGTTCAGTGTTCCAAATAGAAGTAACAGCAAGCTCAGGACTAGGGCTGGAGTTCTAAAGTCCAGCTCGCTTTTTTTTAACACCTTGAACATCTCATCACTGCATTTCAAAAGGGAATGAGTTTGCATTACCTTGGACAGATTTTGAGGGGACTCCTTGTCGAGCAATTCCATGGTCTTGTCTTGAACATTGGTGAGAAACTCAGGAGTGAAGAGGGAATGATGCTTCAAGACTGCAAGAACATGCTTCAAGTTACTGAATTCCACCCAACGCAGCTGAAGATTGTTCACGCAAGCCTCCAGCAGACGCCTCTGTTCTGGTGTCTGTTGTTGCTTCGGGTAAGACACCACGAAGTCCAATATGCGTATAATGAGCGAGGCATTCATCCGACGCAAGTTTTCGGCCATGCGTCTTGCCAGTGAACTGAGAACTTCAGAGGCAGGGGGAATGCCCATTTCAAGCAAGGACTGATATGCCCGGAATGAAAATTCGGCACTGGAGAAGCTTTCACTGAGGGTCATCAACAAGGACTTGAATCGAGCATCATCTTCAAAGTCTTTGAGACAATATTCTTGGGATTTCACCAGAGAATGCAGGACGACGACTGCATAATACAGTTGCCGCACCTCACAGTACCGAGTGTGCGTGAGGTCTAGGACATCCCGAGGGGTGCGACACAAGTACAGCTTGCGGTCCAGAGGTGTCCGCACCCATGTCGGGATGGACGATAGGGTTGTGAGAGTCACTGATGATGCTTTTTCTGGCTTCTCCTGAGCTGCTGTCGAGAGGAACGATGCAGATGGTCTACGCAAGGCAAGAGCATGTTGGGGCAAGGAAGAACGGGCACTTCGACTCCAAGACATGTGCAGCTCATGCACGCACTTCAACATTTTTACTGGGTCAGCCCATGATCTGGCATTAAATAAAGACATACTTTGGTACAAAGAAAAAAATTTATCCATACTAGTCAATATTTTTTAGCACCCTAGATTCACCAAGGTTAAAAATACATGCAAATAAAGGGGAGGCTTACTTTAAAAAAAAAAAAAGCCTATATTTTTGTTTATCTGAAAGGTAGCTCATTCTTCTCTCCCACAATTGTAAATATAGTTATTCCTCACTTTGCACCAGGATGCTGGTTTACATCGTATTTAACTAGCATGCAGTTCTCTAAGTCATGTGAAGTTCCTAAACCAGATTAACCTTGTTTACATGGGTATGTAGGAAATATGTAGGGTATGGGGCAAGTGTCCACTGTGGGAAAATGAGGGAAATAGCCAAGAAACTATTGTTCTCCATTGCTTGAACAGTTTTTTTTAAAGATATTTTTAGCACCAGGCTGTAGATGAAATTCCTTACTCTCAAATAATGCAATGGAATAGTGAGACAACTTGTCAGTTGTCTCACTATTCCATTGCATCGTGCATGAAAATATTTTAACTCCATGCAAACAACATTCCCATGACCATAGATTACAACATGTAGAACTTAGATTATTCAGTATGTTATTACCCTTCAGGAGGAAAACATTTAGTTTACCTTGGCTACCCCTTATAAAAGATGAACACCAGTCAGCAAATGGCCCTCAGTATTAAGTGAACAGGAGAAATGTTCTTCAAGTTTCCATGATGCTAGATGCTAATTAACAATGCTAATGCTCAATGCTGCTGAAACAGTTTCAGGTGAAAAGCCAACACTGAACAGAAATTGTCCATTCAAAACTGAATGGAGACTGAAGGATCCTTCAATCTTTCAGACATTCAAATCAGAACACCATAAGTACAATGATGAACAGAATGAACTCAGTTTAGATGAATAGCTGAAATTCATTGGCAACAATACAAAAGATATCGCAGTAAATTGTCAAGAGGCCCGACAGAGACATGCCACCTGGTCCCAGGGTGAGACATCTGTGCGAACAACTTCAGGAATTCCATTAACAGCATGGAGGAACATGGTGGAGTTCACATCCCGACAGAGTCGTAAAATGGAAAGGCATGGCTCAAATATCACCTTTGCCGCCTCATCATCGACGGTCCAGGGCCTGGCATCACCGGTGAGATCAATCATGAGCTTCAATGGAATCTCACAGATCCTCTCCATGTTCTCTGGCACCCGAGGCCATGTCTCTTGAACAACTGATTCCAAACTCTTTTCAAGAGAAAGGGAAAATGATTATTCAGTCCGAATCATCATTATTTTCATTATACTCAAGTCAGCTTACTTCCTTTTAACTCAGCAGCAACTTCCAGCAGTGCAATGAACTTCAATAGTCCAAGTGATTAAGAGCAACTTCTGGCAGATTTTATGCAAATTCTTCCTACCATGTGAGAAAGCACATCAATCTTCCAGGTTGTGAGGTTTTTTTTCAGCATGTGCATATGAGATTCATTCTGTAACCTCATGTGCAGTATACCAGCATTTACCCAAACATTTATTAAATCCTCAAAATTCAATTATGAAGCCATCTCTCCATTCACTAAGACTGGATTTCTCAATCCTCATTCAGTAGCATTTTACCCAATGGAAGGGAATGCACTTCTTGAATGCCTGGTCTCATTGCCAACAAAGTTAGACTATTTCTGCTACTTAGGTACAGCAGAATGAAGGGCAAGCTTTTTTTTTCTATCTCAATGGCACAGGTAGTTATATTATGGTAATATAATCAGAATTGGTATGCCACAACCATAACTTCCTACTACAACTGAAAGTAATTGGCATAGATGTCAACAAGAAATAGTGACTTGATATTTTTACATACCAGATCATTATTTCTTATTTTTGCACACTAGCAAACATAAAATACTGGTATTCATCATTAGGAATTCTATTGTTTTCATACTGTAATGTGAATAGGGTCACCCTTCAGTCTATTCTTCCACACATTTGCATGAAATTTCAGAGTCAATTAAGAGGTATGGGTCTTATACATAAACAGTAGATGGTTTATGCTTATCATGTGACATCATGGCGGACTTACCCGAGGACAAAAGGTAGCATACCAACAATAACAGAAGCTTTCCTATACAATCCCTGAAGTATTATACAACAAAGCACACAGCATAAAATAAATTTTCTTATGATTGAAATTGGACTCTCTGAATGCCATGAGGCTCACCTTCAAGGCTCCAATGCGGCATCCCTGCCTTGGCGGATCATCATTCATGGCATAATCTTCAATGACTTCCAGAATGCGATTCATCCACTTTAGCACTCCAATGCCTAATGCCTGGACATACAGCAGAAGGATCTTGATATATTCCCTTCGCAGGTTGAGTTGGGTCTCAATGCCCATGTTGTACAGAACTTGAATCATCACCTCATCATGCTTGGGACCCTATGTCACAAATGGGTAAATATATATTATCTAGCCTGGAAAGGATCGTCCAGATATTGACTCTAAATTGAGAGTTCTCAAGATTTTTTTCAGACTGGTAGCTTCCAGCTCCCTATTTTCTTCCCTCCCCCCACTTTCTCCAAGTGAAACAGCTTTCTGCTTGATATGATAAAAGCATGAGAGCACATTAACCCTTTCAGACCTGGCACCCATTCCAATGGACATTGCATTTACATTGTGTCTATAGCAATTTCTAGGGGCTCTCGTGACTTTGCACTCCATATTAAGCTACAATGGGTGCAATTATGTATGGCTCACTTCTATCAGAGGCCTTCTTTCACCCATTAATTTTGTAATCTTCAGTTATTTTTTTAAATGCTTAATATATAATATATGGCATGATACGGCAAATTAATACAAAACATGAAAACTACATATAAAGCATGAAAATTTCAATGAAAATCATAATAGAGCTCAAAAATACAAAAAAAGGATATTATTCTGATAGTGGCCTTAAGTCAGGTCTGAAAGGGTTAAAGTGATAAGTAAAGTCCTGTGAACCCCTTTCCTGATCTTCGGAAAGGGGTTCACAGGAAAAAATCATATGGGGAATTAGATAATATTTTATGGACTAATGTCTGGCAAGAAAGGAATGGGTGAAACCTGTAGAGGACTTTCCAACACTAAATGTTCAAAATGTATCAGGATGGATAACTCTGGGAACACATAAGTCACATATAGAAGAAATCTCACAGGACGGGATTCCATCGGCTTCTTAGGATCTCCTTCGAGGATAGTGAGGATGGATATTAATGGTGGATGGAGGCATGACACAATGCAAGGCTCTCGAGCAAACAGCTCATGCTTCAATGCTGCATAAATCACCTCTGCCCTCCCATGCCATCTCAGCTCTGTTGGACTCTACCAAGGAATTCAAAATAGGATGGACCACATGATGAGGGTATTGCAATATCAATATTGACACAGTACCAATCAAAGTAAACATACCACATTGTCAATGACATGCTGCACTGCCTGAATGCCAAGAATGTTGTTGGCAGGTATGTGATCATCAAGCAGGATGAGTGCAGTTGGCATCACAGTGTCAATCAGGTCACTCAGTTCTGGAAACTACAACAAAAATATGGAGGAAATATTTCCACATTCAATGGACCATAAGATTGTAGATAAGTTACTTTTCCAAATTACATTGCAGTGTTTCAGTACTTTGTTCAGGTATTGACAAAAGTAATTAATTATAAACAAGATCAATCATCTTTGCAAGAGGCATCATTTGCATTTAAAAGAAAAAAAACACATGATACCTACAAATGCATAATTAGGATTGCAGTGGTAAAAAAGACCTCAGACCTTGATCTGTGAGAGCAGCCAGAAGTAGGCCATCTTGGCAGCTGGATACTTCTTCCAAGTGTCCTTGAGCAGTTTTGGCCTGAGAGCCACAAAACAATCCTTCTTTATCCCCCTTTCATAAAGCTGGCTTTTTCCAACTAATAAGTCAGATGCAGATTTTGCTCCTGTGACACTCAGGGCTTCATTGAGAAGAGCTGAAGCTCCTTCAATCAAATTGTGTCCACTCCACACGTTTTCTTTATTTGCATGTTCAGCACAGAGTACAATCACCCGAACGATGGCACGCTTTAGAGCAGATTTCTGTCTGTCATCAAGATCTTGATCTCCAATCATATGCAATGCCCTTTGCAAGACTTTCATGCTCTCAGCACAGTGATGATGTAATGTGTCATCGAAATCCCCTTGAACCTCAGGTCGAAACAAGAGGTCATCCATCGTTGGAACAGTGGCACTTGAGGCTACACTCCATATGGCCTCGATAACCTTATCTATCTTATCCAAGGGTTCAAATTCACATAACTTTCTCAGATTCTCTACATCCATCTATGGAAGAAAATATAACTTTATTCATGAGTTGGGATTTTGGGGTTCACTTTGGGAGTTTGATTCAAAATATTTCCCTTATAAATCAAATACAGGAAGGAATACATTTAAAAGTTGTAGAGGAAACCTCCATGATGTTGGTCATGAAGAGCTATATGAATCTGTTTGCTTCCAGAATCATATGCAGCACCTTTCAACTCTGGCATGAAAAAGGCAAAGTTTTGTGTCCTATGAGTTGATGATTAAAAAATTCAACTTCAGGAAAGCTTTAGCCTGCACATGATGCAACTTATTGCAATTGACAAGAAAAACAATTCTGCTCCTGCCCAGTAAAATTCATATTTTTGGAGAGGCAAGGGTGTCCTTGGAATAGATCACAGACTGAAATAAATTTAACATAATAATTGCCAAAATTGTCACAACTTCTGAAAACCCACTGTCAACATTATTAGAGGTTTTCTCAGCACTTCCCTAATCATTGAACAATGAAGAAACCATCACAGTGAGTGAAAGACTGGACCTTCTTCCTTGCTGTATGAAAACAAATGGCATCTATTAATGACATCTCTTTGTTAAATACAACCACCGGATATTAAACCTAGAACTGAACAAGCAGAATTCTTATTTCTAACTCCCATCTACTTCCAGACTATCCATCATATTATCTAAGCCTAGCATTGAGAAGATGCTGGATAATCACATGAATAGACAATTTCATTTCATCAGCCCAGAAGCCTCTGATCTCATACATAATATTCTGAAATGGACATTTTTATAATCTGATAAAAGGATGACTACAAATTTTGCATATGTAGTCTTCAATAATGATAGATTTTGCAATTTGTCATGATATGAACTGTTTCCATTTAGAATTGATTAAACTCATATCTTTAGGAGGCAAGCTGGTATTACCCAATCAAGTTGAGTAGATTGAATTCATTCACCTTTCACAAGAGGAAATATTATAAGAGCATGGTCAAAAGAAAAAGCTATAGCCACCTATAAATAAGGATACCAGTAAGCAATTGACGAAGTGCATTTTTCCCCCTCTTTATGGTCAAATGTCACTTCCATCTCAAGCCATGATTGTTCCAGTTAAAACAAAGAGATTCTTTTCTGGACCATGCTGTTAGTAGCAAAGAAAAAGGTAAATCAGGGCATGCATGACCTACAGACTCCTCCTTCTGACTGCTAAGAGTTTCCACTGAATTTCTAGAAGAGGTCTAATATCATGCTCATTTCCTATTAACCCCTTCACTGGCGCAGATGAGCTGGTCTCACCTCAAAAACAATTTGTGTTTGAAAACATGCCAGTGAAGGGATTAGTGTCACAATCAAAAGAGATGCAAAATTGGGGAATCCTTAGAGGAGTTCTTCTGGTGCAAGAAGTCAAGAGAAAATGTAACCAGAGCTCTTGAGCAATCAGAAAAAAGGAAGCACTCAGAAAAAAACTATGAAGCTCCGAAATCTTCTCACAATTCCCAACATCATGGAACAGTTTCTATGGCAGGTTCTAAACCAGAATGATTGAGGCACTCAGATATATATTCCAAAGGCATTCATGAGGCATCCATTCAACAGCTCTCAATCCAATCATCTCAACTATAATGATAAAAACCAGAATGATTAAGATTAACATCACCTAGACCAGCATTATTTTAATTTTGAGTACAGTGCAGGAAACTGCAAGTAAATGAGACTTACTTCAGTTCTAGATACTGAAAACAAGGATAAAAAGAAATAAAGTATTAAAAAGATATTAATGAAAGACCCCAAAATATTTAGTTGCTTTAAGAAAGCCCTGGCCCAGCTCACAAACTTAAGTCTAAAAATTACAAACACTAAAACTGTTCTGATTGTCTTCAGAAAGATTCTGAGGTATGAAGTATTGAAAACACTTTGTTGGCTTCCAAAATGGACAGGATTGAACGGCGAGTAGAGCAGGAAGGCAGTAGGTAGATGAAAGCGAGGCATACAGGTCCATGAGGCACTTAAAGCTGTCAGCATTTAGTTGGTTATCACTAGCAGCAGGGTCGGTGCCTGGATTTGTCTGAAGACTCGCTGCTGACCCTATGTGATGTCTGCAGCTGAACTGCTTCTGGAGGTAGCTGCACCTTCAGCTGCTTCAGGAGGCTCTGTGCTGTGCTCACAAATGCTTCCTCAATTCCTACCAAGGGCCATTGCAGTCCCTTTTTTAAATCACAAATCATACAAAGGTGATCCCAGAGCAGAGAAAGAATTTACCTTCATTGTTGACAGCTGAGGTCTCAAAGAACAATGCATCGAGTGAGGCAGCATAGTCTGCTGCTTCCTTGGTTGTTACTTGCCTTTCACTCACAAGGTCACTCTTATTCCCCAAGAGACATAGGACAAGAGGACCTTCAACATTCTTGGACAGCTCTGTCAATATGAGGGTATTATGCTCATAGACATGGATTAAGATTTTCTAAAAATGCACAAGTGCAAGAATTAGCAAAGCCCAACAGTACCTGATACCCAGACTTTGACATCTGTGAAGGTGGCATATTTGGAGAGATCAAAGACAAGGAGGGCAGCATTTGCATTACGATAGTACATAGGAGCCATTGCACGAAATCTCTCTTGTCCTGCAGTGTCCCATACCTAGACCAAAATTAAAGAACTCCAATGTCTAGGCCCAGGCTGAGTCACATGTGATTTTGTTTTTTCCAGCATATTATATGCCAGAGGTCAATCATTAGCTGGACAAAACAGCGTTTTCAAGCAGTAGGCCATAGGAAATGAAAATTCACCTGCAATCGGATTCGTGTGCCATCAATACGAAGCATGCAGGTACAAAAAGAGGCCCCAAGAGTGCTGCTCACATTCTTCTGGAAATTGCCGCTTATCTGCCGAGTCACAATGCTCGTCTTCCCCACGCCTTGGTTGAAGACAAACTTGTTAACGTAAGCCAAGCAGAACAAAACTAACTCAAGGAATAGTTTCTTATTACATAGAGAAACCCAAAGTCAGTCCTGAAATTAGCTTGAACTGCAAGGCCAGATGAGACAATACAGCAAATTTAGATAGATTGAATTGATTTATTGTCCTCAAAAGCATATATATATAGTTTACAAGCCATCTGTTACAAGCCACCTTCTTCTGACAGGACAAAAATTTGAGGTAGGATAAAAGAATAGCAATGCTAGAATAAGGACATTGACAATCTATATCAGCAAGGCTCATATTGTGATGAGATTAACATTAAAAAGTCATCTTGGTAACAAGATATGCTACTTCCATAATAAAGATAGCTAGAAATATCAGAAAAGGTTAAGTGGGGGATGTAGAAAGTTCTGGAAAGAAATGATCAAGGATTTAATCTGAGGAGCAAGAGACTTTGCATTCTAGGAAACAAAGTAGAGAGATACACAGAATTTTAAGAAGGAATGGCTCTCATTAAGTTTATTGAGTAGAATGTTAAATTTCCACATTTTGCAGTCTATCATAAAGAACTTTCATTAAAATTATTGGTGTTGGCTTATGGGGAATCAGAGTCCATGATGTGGCTGATCAAGGGGATCATGACCATTAAGAATTTTCAACCAAAGTTCACAAGTCAGTTAGATGCTCTTCCAAGGTATCCACTTGGAAGAGAGGGCATGCAGTCACACTTTATCCTGGCATATGTGATTCTCATGGATAGCTTGATAACAGAATTTTGGGGGGAAAGTAGCGATTGGTTGCTTGATCCAGAAATTCAGGTCATAAATAGTGAGAACAGATAAGAACATGAAAAAGAAGTGGAAGAATGTTGCTGCTGAGATTTAGATCAGTAGCAACTCTCAGAAGGAAAAAAAGTTCTAGGGATAATGCAAATTTTAGGTTAAAGATGCATGTACTCCAGGAAAGCAATGAACAGATTTCATGAGAAGTACCTCAAAAGAGGCTACCTACACAACAGTACCTTCACCAATGGCATTACCCAAGCTTGTTGAAGGGAGTTTGGAAAAGCAACGGGCCTTTCCAAAAAGCTTACATTTTGTCTTATTAACATTCACCTGAGGTACCTGACTAGCATAAATTGCTAGGATTGAATATGGATTGAGAATTTACATCCGATCTTGACAAACAGGGCTGGGCTTCAAAGAGAAAAAATTTGCAAATGAACTAATATTTGAGAGATGGATGTTATAGAGAAGAAGTTTGTCAGGGAGAATATCACGAGGGACATGGTGAAAAGGATTAGGGATGTCAAGGAACGCAGCCGGTTCAACGTTCATAGATCGCATTATCCTTACCTTGCGCTCCAAGAACTACGATTTTCGCCTCGACAGTAGAAGTCATTTTAGCGAAAGATGCACAGAATCATAGCGATGAAACGAGCCATTTAATCCAGCACGATTCCAGGGCACATCACGACCCTGCGAGCCCAGGCAAGTGGGACAAGCGCGCCGCCATGCTCCCTTGCTTGTTAGCATGGCGGCTCACACTCCCCACATGCGGAATCATGCCCCCTCCGTTCTGGGAGGCTTAGGCTAGGTCACGTCTTGGTTTCCAGTGGCTCTCAGTGGAGTTTGATGCCTCTGCAGTTGGCTCGGAGTCAGGCTGAGCTCGCATTCGTCGCCGTCTTGCTGTGGTTTCGTGGTTGAATTCAAGTCTCTCTCGGTCAACGCCAGATTACATTCTTGCTTTATACTCTTTAATTCTACATAAGGTCAACCATTCATGAGAACCTCTTGCCATCTGATTAAGTGTCTCAGATTGGTGCGACACTAATGCAAGTTGACACTAACTAATTACATGGAGCTTGAGGGCAGGGATTGCTTGAGCAATTAAGGAAATACTACTTCCAATCTTTCTTCAATTGACTTCTTTTTTATTTTTCCTTTCTGCTTTTATTATTAAAATCCGCGAGTAAGACTATTTATGTATATGTTTCTCCTGATTTTGTTTACCTCACAATGTGTTGTGTACCTTTTTCTCATTTTGTTTAATTTTACTACTCCCTACTTTATACTTCTCTTTTTGTTTAATACTTTCTTTCCTTTCCTATTGGTTGCATATGCCTATCCATTTGTTTTGCCTTCATTTAACCCACCTACCTCACAACTGTTCGGTAATGTCATGAATAATTGATGCCAAATGAATCTGAATATAAAACTTTCCAGGTAGGGTCAATGAATGGCTTGGTTGATAGTAAGCTTGACTCTTGTGACAGCCAGACCTGGGCTCAAGACCAAGTCAGGTGCTCCTTGAACAAGCAAAGCAATCATGAAGACCAAATTATGATGCCTGATATCAGTAGTTAATTGTTTGGGGGGGAATAATGAAATTACTCAATTTATGTAGGGAGGAGTGAGTTGGGTCAGTCAGTGAATTGATGACTTTTCCCTGAGTTCAACACACCTCAATTGGGTCATGAACTTGGCCAAATTGCAATGAGATGGCATGGGGGAGCCCAGCTGCTCCATTATTGATCTGGGTGCGAAAGTTTTGTCCTCAGGAGTCGGAAAGTTGAAAGCCCACCCTGTAGATTACAGTTCCACCTTGAGCTCCCTCACTGCTAGGTTTTGACTTCATCTACCCCAATCCCATAGTGGCTCCTGCCTCCCACTCCCCTCACACATTCAAGTTCACCCTTCTAATGCAAGAAATGTTACTTCTCCAAATTCATTAATTACACAAATGCATGGTACTTGTAAGCATGAAATGTGACTTAAACAGAATTGACAGTGGTAGCAGGATCATACACCTCAAGGTCATATTTCAGAAGGTCCATTCGCAGCCCTCAGCCAAGGATATTTTACCTTTCACCCTTTTTTTTTTTTTTACTAGACTGTCTGCTCTCTGCTGCCCAAGTTCTTTTGGAAGGTATAAAATAATTACAATAACTCATGCATAAAATGTCAAATTCAACTGTAAAAACATTACAGGTGACTCGCATTCTATCCACTCTACTGAAAAAATTATTTCTTTTTCCTAGATTACAAAGCAAAAATGGGACGATTGTTCAGGTGAGACCATACAATCTTCTTATTGTAGACCTAGATATACAATTCCATTTAACCCTTCAAGCTGGTAATTTTAAATTGCCTAACTTCCAGTTAGGCAGTAGTAGTGGTAGTAGTAATTTTTACAGTTCAGTGCAAGTATGAGTATCAACTAGAAAACAAGTTCGTATAAATTTAGGATTGTGTGTCCTTTCCTGAGTTTTCATTAAAATGCACTACAGCATTGAGTGTCACTGTCAGGTTTAACTCATCCAGTGGATACACCCTAGCAGACATAACAGTTTCATTGCACTCACTTGAAGGGTTAAAATGCTCCATCTAAACAAGGTCCTGGATGTGCTGTTTGCTGTCACAGGAGTGTCATGAAGTTGGGTCTCACTGGAGGAGCTGTGTATGGATCATGTAAAGTTGGTGTGTGGGGGGATGGCTCAAATACCACCAATGTTCTGAAGAATATCGACGAGTCACTCAATCGTGTTCCTGGCCTTCCCATGCTAAAGCAAGAAGTCAGTTGGGCTAACTACTCAAGAGATAGCTACTGGTTGTCTCATTTCCCAAATGACACAAAATATGTTTTCCACAGTTGTCCAAGATAGAAGTCATCCCCGAGGACTTGAAGGATAAGAAGAAGGCGAGAGACTACTGGAACACTGGTGTGATAGCCATCTTTGCATTTATCATGGAACTGCCTGAACTTTCACAAAAATGGGCATGTGTTTCTTATCGCACCATATCAGCCTACATGCAAGACATTACCAAGGTTCGAGAACCACAGAATAAGACTTAGTAACTTAGATGTTGTGTTGCTCTTTTCTCCTTAGTGATCCATGAGTCAAATATTCCGCAGTGAGAATAAAGTCTTCTCCGTGTCTACATTGAGTTGTTCCTCAAGGATAAAGCTATCTCCACAATAACCAAACCAAACTGGTAGTGACATGAAATTCTTGGGCAGCCATGCCTTGGAATTCCCATTGTTAAACTGAGAAATTTGCTACCTGACATAATGGCAAATGAGTCTTAAATCCTTGGAGTACAAGAATTTACTCCATTCTCAGAATGAAGATTATTTGAGGAAAATTCTTTGCTCCAGAAGCTGAGTAGAAAAACAACAAGGGTTCATTCACCCTTTCACCAGATAGACAAAAATATGTGCTGAAATGCCTAGTTATTGGCAATGATGTTAAAAAATATTCAAATAGTTATAACTGTCAAACTCGCTCCCAACTTTACTCGGATGAACTTCATACGCATAGTCCTCCACCATGAAAAAAAATCAATCGGCATTCCAGCCACAATCTACCCATTCAATTGCCCTGCATCATTTCATAGGAAAAAAAAAAAAGAGGAATTGGTTTCGAACACATCTCGAGGGGGAAAAAAAAGGAAAAACGTCCTGCTTTAGACAAGGAAGCCAAGTCATCCATTTTTCAAGTCTTTCTTGTTAATCTTCAAGATTCAAGAGGGAAAAGGTGAGGTTCATCAGTCCTCCGCCTTGTTAGGAGCTTCTGTATCCCCTTCACCCCCTTCACCGCCTTCGCCTGCCCCTGTCTTCTCACCTGGCTTCTTCTTCTTCTTCTTCCCACCTTTGTGCCCCACAGAAGATTTGAGGACTTTCTGTGGAAAAAAATAACAAGGATGTCAACCATGAAGATGGGGCATAAAAACTGAAGAAAAAAAAAGCTCAAACATCCATAAGGTTGACGACAAAATAAGAAGCAGCAATCCTCACCAAGATCTCTTCATCCTTGATAGTCTTGTCACTCTCATACATATCTGCTTCAAATGGGATTCCAGTAATCTTGTGAGATCCAGTTGGCATCAACAGGACCGTAAATTTGAATTGAGCCACATACTCCCCTATAAAGAAAACATTTTATAGTGCTAATACAAACCAATAAAAAAAGGCATGAGAACAAGTAATTTTCTATCTGCTAGTTCAATTCATGTCATTTCTCTAATCTTACTGCTAGCCACATGGTCTAAAAAAAAATAGAAACACCACCCAAATGATATGGGTGGATGAAAAATGCTATTTTGAGCTGGTCCATGTACCCAATACAATAGATGGTGAAAAAGAACACTTGCTAGTGCATTAACTTTACAAGTTGATGACCTGCAAATGAATATCTTCCTGTCCTGAAGAAGAAATTGTAAAATAAATAAAAAACACTCTATACTCATAACTGAACATTTTTCCCTCATCATATTTTTTATATAACTAGATAGGAAGTCTGAAGCTTCATCCAACTGCTGGACAAATGCTGGATAGGGCAGTTGTGTTTCCAGACATTATGGTACCTTTTTTTCTAGCTTCCACTGCAGATGCAAAAACTTTTCCACTAAAATTCTGAAACTTGAATTGAGTAACTTGTATTTCATGAAAATTATGAAAACTGGGCAAATAGGACATAAATCACAATCCATTCTGTATTTTGTTTGCAATCAGTAAAGTAGTCCGTTGGATTCAGTTCATATTTTCCTAGAGATATGCAGACAAGGGATAAAACAATATCTCTCACATGGGGGAGGTTCTTAGATAAGATCAACGTACTTCCATCATGGGTTGGTAAAGCAAAAAAAGAGCACACAATGGAAAGAGGAAAATACTTCTCAGAAACACTCATATTTTCCATATTCCAAGTACTTCATGCACCTAATGGAACCTAGCAATTTTCCCAGATTCTGGCATTCATTCTGCACTAATATTGTTTTATGCTACATAAAGATATTTCCCAACATCTCAGCCAAATGAAAAACACTGTAAAACCACTGAATAGTCACCTCACCAAGTGCTCAACCTTACCAGGCTTTTCATAGAGGACATGGAATGGTTCAATGAGCTTGTGCTTGACACATTCCACAACACCCATTTTTGCCTTCTTCTCATCTTCAAAGGTGCGCAGGTTGAATGGCATTGTTGCAAAGCGTTTCTCCACATCCGAGAAGAAATTACGGCTTGCCTTCATCTTCAGCATGTATGTATCTTCTGTCTTCTTATACACAGTGACCCGTGAATCATATTCACGACCCTGAGAGAGCAAAAAATATAGTCTTTTAACTAGTTTAGTCTTCAGATATGTAATAATGGCCAAGAGTCTTCTCCAATTTGAGTAAAAGAGGACACAAATCTCAGGTGATGAAAGAAATGTCAGTCACAAAGACAACCACTCCACTGCAATTTTCCCATTAGAATGTGGGCATAAATGCATGTCTACTTAATGCACAAACATAGGTCCAATCTTATTTTACTTAATGTGAACTCATTAACCTTATTAAGGAAGAAAGTTCTTTGGCTGTTAGATCTCTGGGCCTCCAGCACTTCCAGGTTGCATAGAAGCATTTAGGCACTTGGGTACAAAGTAAGACTGCTCAAAACTAAACATGACTTTTATGCACAAATGTATTTAGTATGAGAAAAAATCCAAGGTGGAAGAAGTCAACTTACAATGCCTTCACCCGTAGAGACAAGAACATCCATGGCATAGACCTCATGGACCTCAAATGTGCACTTCTCGTGGTCCTTACGTTGTCCCTCACTGGGGTTTTGAATGATGCTCTTCTCACCATCTATCCTAAGGTGCTCCAGCTGGTGGCTGAGCATTCCCTCCACTGGATGGCATTCATATGCCTCAGCTATTTTCTGCACCATATCAGTGACTGCGTAATTCTGCAGGAGAGCACAAAGGCAACAAAATGTGAATTGACGTAGCAGAAGGCTCAGTCCATATATTCTCATCTATGAGATCATACCTCATTCCCTGGTTTCAAAAGCCTCAGAGCAGCTTCTGAAGCCAGGTGAGCCGCCATGATCACATCTGCTTTCTTCCCTTTCACTTTATCGTCATGTGAAGCCCCAATCACCAGTGTATGAGCCACAACAGCAATATAGCCATCAATGTGAGCCCCCAAATCTCTGAAACATTGAGTGGTATAAAATAGGGCAAGGTCAGAATTTGAGGAGTTTCAAAAAAGAGGCCATTACAATCTTGACTCACATCTTCACCATATCACCATCTTGGAGGATGTGATCAGGCTCACTGTACAGAGGGGAAAAGTGGCAGATGCAGTTGTTGACTGATAGGCAAGTCGGAAATGCAATTCCTGCAAGAAATATGATACATTATCTCATCATAAGAGCCAGCACAGTAACTGTTAAGTGGGTACCCTCTAGAGCAGGGGTGCCCAAAGTGCGGCCCGTGGGCCGCATCCAGCACACAAAGTGCCTTAGAGAACATCCACTTTGGGCACCCCTGCTCTAGAGGAATTGCCCCCCCCCCCCCCCCCCAGTCTCCAATGTTCCAGATGAATTCAACTGGAAACAGACCATATCCATTTAGATGCCTAATAATTCATAATTAATAATAAACACCAACCTGACCAGGCTTAACTTACGGGGCAAAACAACATCCCCAGGAGGTATGCATTTAACCATAACCAGCCTACACTTAGCACAAAATAAGCCAACAACTAACTTGTCTGAATAAATTGTAAATATTTGTATGCAAATGCTTACCTTTCTTCATCTCCTTTTCCTTCTTGAAAACTTTCCCAGTTTCTTCAAGGAGAAGCTTGTCTCCATGATCACAGATCTCCCTCACTGAAGCCCCAGCCTGACACTTCTTTATCACTTCCTGGAGGACTCCTTTAATCCGGAAGGAAAAATAAACTTTGAATAGTAAACCCAGAAAACGTAGAGAAATACGATATGGAAATATATGCAGTTAGGTACGAGCAACCTAAGCATAGAAAGGGCAGGAATAAGGCGTTGGTCCCAGTCGTGCCCATGGCAGGCACGTTGGCCTCGGCTGGAATCACCATAGACCTAAGGCTACCCAAGTTCACTCCTGCCTCATTCTTAGTAGAATAGGTAGGATACGGAAAGATCAGATGGGTATCTCTTACTGTTGACCATTTCACCGCCCATTTTGTACTTGGTAACCACGATATCTTCGGCGATGGTCTTCTCATTTTTCTCGGTTGCTTCCTCCTTGTCCGCCATCTTGCCAAGTGCAACCCACTCTGCCGCTGCTACTGCTGGCGGGAACCATGCAGGCGGACGCACCGTTATCTGGCGGAATCGTCACTACCATCTATTTTGCTAACCTTTCCCTAGATGTCAGTTCAGTGCTGCACAGTTTTGTTCCCTCTTTCTTGGAAAAAATTAGTTCGTAAAGCACGTGAAGATGCATGAATACAATACAAAAAGATACAATTATTATAACGCTAACAACATAAATAATTCAAATCCTTTAAGAACTGATTCATAAAGTCATTTTATTATTCATCCATTCTATAATAGACTGGAGCTGTTAAGAGGTCAAGTCTTGCAAGGCGGATTTTGTTGGTTTAACCGTTGTTTAACGTATTGAAGTTGACGTGCACTTGAGAGGAAATCACACGTGAGTTCTGATGCTCGACGTTTCAAGTCACGTTGAATGAGCTTCATAATATGACAAACAAAAAATTTGATCATACGGAAAGGGACAGAACCATCTTCTCCAACTGTGCAACTTCAGCATGAACGAGGTTCAGGAAAAGCAAAGTGAACGGTGCATTTCTGAATGCGAATATAACCCTAATGACCTGTTTAGCGATTGCCACTTGCACGTACTAGATCGAAATACGGATGGATTTCAAGGGGTACTTTTCTGCAAGTTTTTTTTTCTGACAAGAGTGCTGTCCCTGTTTTTTAGAAATTCAGCGGCTGGCCTTCCCCCCACTCCAGTGGCGTATTTTACAGGGGGGCAGGAGGGGTAGCCGCCCCCCCTGGCGCCCCCTTGGAGGAAATAATTTTCTCGCCTGATATCACTCGGGTGGGGTTTGACGCCCCCGCTCTGTTGCCTTGCCTCCCCTGACCCTTCAGCCAAAATACGCCACTGCCCCGCTCAGTCCAATCTTCTTCTGAAAATTGCATCTCTTCTCGCTGTCATGAGCGCCGGCCGTTTTCATTTCTTGATCCGAAAGACTCACAGTTCCAAATTAATCGAGCTCTCAAATCATACCCAAGATAGCGCATAAGCCACAACGATATTGACTGCAGGGGGAAGAAAAGGCTGAATCCCACCCTGTAGTTGCGTGTTATTACACGTGGTCTTGCCTTGCTGACGAATATGTTTCTGTTTCTTGGTGAAGGCATGCTGACTGAGGACACTCTTCTCGGTTTTGAAATGGTACCCCCTTTTGTGGAGTACCGAGGAAACACTAGGTTTCTTGACAATCCGCTAGATGTCAAGCCTGCTGCCCTGCACGGTCGTTGGATGGTCGTTAATATTTGGCTTTTGGGATGACCCCACACAGAAGAAATTAAGCTTATTCTCTGGCTAATAAAATGGGTGTCAAAAAGAAAACAGTCTAGGAAATTCTCCAGTCTTGGGATATCTTTATTTCTGGGTTAAATCGTGTCTCATCTTCGGACATCACTGCATGCGGCATCACTGCATGCGGTCGAGCATCGCCTGCGCGAGGACGACGGGAGCTCGCAGGCCTTTCGGCCGTGAGAAGCTTCGTGAGTCGTGACAGCACGCAACATTTCTGACGATTTTCCACCATTTCATCAGGATGGCCATAGGCATCGAATGCTCTTTCGTGTCCCTGTTTTCAGCCCTTCGCAGCAAAGGGAAAGGACACGATTGCAGTAAAACGCGTCCGATCTCGCAAAGAATGAACCCATTATTACAGACACAGGAAAGATTTGAAAAAAAGGTTGCCAGCTGCAAGTTCCTGGCTCCCTCTAGCATCCATTATTCCCACTT